GAGGATTCCTCCACCGTATAGCTAGTCCGAGAGTGAGTTGAGAGAGACGGAAAGGCTACGGTGTCCATCTCGATTTCCCTCGCCGTTCCCGTAGATATATCTCCCCCAAGTATATAGTAGATCGAGCGAGAGAGGAAGAATTGGAGTCGATATCCTGATCGTGAGTCTCGTCGAGTAGAAGTTTGAGCTCCCGTAGAGGCGCTATACCGCTGGCTTGCGTGAAACCGGTGGCGGTAAAGGAAAATCTCCCTGCGTTTGCTCGTGACTCAATCTTGGCCCTATGCTCCAGAGAGCATAGGTTGACAGCCTGCACCACGAGGAGGTGTTGAGTCGTCGCAGGCCGCTTTTGGAACTGTTACGCCTGGTACGAAGTATTAATATATGCAGTACTATCTGTAACCGCTGCCTGAAGTGGCTGCACCCGGAAAAGGAAGGCTTAAGCACGGCTTTTATTTCTGAATAACCCCAAATTGGGTTGATACAGCTAGCTAGCGCTCACTCGGCTCTCTATGCTTGTACCTTCTCTGCTTGAATTTTGCTTCAAACTAGGCATAAATTCACTTCGCAATCAATTTAGCATGTGATTAAACCGAGGTCTCTAGGCTTCTAAAGGATTCGTTGTAGAATCACCCTATCAAGCAGAATCATCTGCATAATAAATTTCGTGGGGAGACGGGCCCAAGCGACCAATGCGTTGTTAACCTACCACTCATATCGATTTCACCAATCCACGCAGTGTAACGCATACATCTGCATCTGTCGCCCAAAGTGGTCACACCTAAAAAAAAAGGAGGGCCAAGCGGGGCGTAGACTTGAAAAGCTGACACTCAGCCTCCTGAGCTCACAAGGAGTCTGGCCCCCACACCAGATCTCAGCGCCCAGCCCACCACCAGCCCGCACGACGGCCCAAAACACCAAAAAAATGGGGGGAAACCACCCAGAACCCACCGCAGCTGCGATGAGTCTATCCCAGAAAGCTGAAAGTATTGCGAGTGAATTTGTCCTCAGCGACGATGATGTGCGGAAGTGCAGCAAACAATTCATCTTCGAACTAGGTAACACACTGCCCCCTCAGCACCTCATCTCGCTAAGTATTTCGTTCAGGCGAGGGGCTGAAACATGTTGTGCCCACGGTCTGTCAGATCCCGACCTATGTTACGAAAGTGGCGCGTGGTACAGAGAAGGTTCGACTTGCGTGCATAGACAGTTCAACGATTACACATTGCTAACATACTCAGGGTGTTTCTCTAGCGGTTGACCTCGGCGGAACTAATCTGAGAGTGTGCTCTGTCGAACTCAAAGGTGACACGAAGTGGACTGCTAAGCATGCCAAAAGAGTCATCCCGCCAGAAACCATGACTGGTTCAAACGGTGCCGAGCTATTTCATCTGATTGCTCACGAGATAGACCAATTCTTTCAACTGCATCACAGAGATACGCTTCAGAAGCTACGACAATCTAAAGACGTCCTTCCTCTAGGATTTACATTTTCGTATCCTGCATACCAGACCAGTATTAACTCTGGTATTCTATTGCGTTGGACTAAAGGATTTGATATCCCTGACGTTATCAACAAGGACGTATGTCAACTTCTACAGGTTGCCATTGACGACTTCAACTTGCCAGTCGAAGTCACGGCGTTGGTGAATGATGCTCTTGGTGCGCTGATGTTTCGGGCATATACGCTGCCACTCTCACAAACCCGTACCTCTGTCGGAGCCATATTCGGGACCGGGACGAATGGCGTGTACCTGGAAAAGCTATCTAACATTACTAAAGCCCTGGGAACACATGATGACTCTACAGGCGAGATGTTCATCAGTAGTGAATGGGGCTCGTTCGACAACGGCTTGCTAGTACAACCAAACACAAAGTACGACATGAAGGTTGATCAAAGCAGTATAAACCCAGGCAACCAAATGTTTGAGAAGCGAGTTTCGGGGATGTTTCAAGGCGAGCTTTTGAGGGTAGCTTTGAATGAATTGTACGCTGATCCAGACGCCTGCTTGTTTCGAGGTGTCCAATGGGATGATCCAGCCCAAGGCGAAGGGCCAGCACCTTTCTTCACTCGATGGGCGATAGACACGTCTCTCCTTTCAATAGCAGCAGCAGAAAATGCTCAAGAGCTTACTGCACTTTCAGAGGCACTCGTCAAGACACTGCGCATCCCAGCTAATCATGTAAGCGCTGATGATGTTCGTGCGGTGAAGACGATCGCTGATGCGATTGGCAAACGAGCGGCCAGGCTGGCGGGCATGGCCATCGGCTCAGCCCTTATCAAAGGCGGGAGAATAACCGTTGATAGGAACATACTACCCGTCACAAGAGTTACAGAGGATTTTTCTGGCGTGGAAGCGGTCGATATCGCGGTTGACGGCAGCGTCGTTGAGTTGTATCCAGGGTTTGAACGTTATATGCGTGAGGTGTGGAGAGTTATCGACGGTATAGGACCAGCTGGAGAGAAAATGATCAAAATGGGAGTCGCAAAAGACGGTTCCAGTATTGGCGCAGCGATTATTGCGCTGATTGTCGCAAATGGACGTGCGTCACATACAGCAACTCCTTGAGAAACACAAGGGAATTTTATGAACAAGTCCGACATGGGCTATGACACTATGAAGGCCAAGAATCCAGTCATCGTCAAATGTGACGCCTATACTGCTTTTAACCTTCTTCCTCTTCCTCCTCTTCCTCTTCTTCCTCCACTTCCTCTTCCTCCTCTTCTTCTTCCTCGTCGTCTTTCCCTTCTCTATCTAAGGCTTCGTGATCGTGATAGACTTCAGACTTTCGCTTATAGGAAGCAAGTTCGTCGGGGCAGATTCTAGAGCATAGTTCCTTCATATCTTCGAAGATACTAGGTTAAAGTGATGTTAATGCAGCCCCCATCAAATCGCAAAGATACAAATTTTCTTACTTCTCGCGATAATTGCTGCCTGGAATCAACCAAGCAGCGGTCAAATTAGGCCTCAACGAATACAGGAGATTTCGCGAATCCCAATCCTCTTCTATGATAAGGTAGTTAGTAGCTGTACTGGGAAGGGACGCATACGGTAGCGAACACTGACCCGGCTCACTCGCAGGAAAATGTCGCTTGTAGCTTCGAATGTATGTTTTGCTGCTCAGTCTGTGTCTGGGGGTCCTCCAGTTACCCAATTCGAACTCGTTGTGTGCGTAAAATGCAGATCCGTCAAAGACGAATGGCTCCCCACTTCGCACATCCGTGGCTGTATTCCCATCCCAGACGTTTCCATGCACTAGGCAAGGCTTAATGGACCTGCCATCGCTCTGCAATGGTCGCAGCAATGCCGGGACACACTTATCCATCACAAGCTGTGCGCAGAAATCAAACTCCGGCCAATGTCGCTGTTTGGACTTGTCCATATCGAAGACGTGCTTGAGCTGTTTGTGATAGCAAACTTCCCACGAGTCCTCCCAGATGTCAGTTAACTGGGGTGCTTTCCCATGGCAAGTCTTCACATGGAATCCAAATTTACCAGTGGGTGAGATGGACTTTTTGTGCAGCTCCGCCAGGCGCGCGACGAATCTAGCAGGCTCTGGAAGCTGCTGTCCAACATCGCGGAACTCCGCTAGAATAAAGTAGTTGGCTGGTCCAGGGGCTTTGTATTGGCCGAGAGCGTAAGGTTTGGGACAGAACGACGGGAGAACTTCATAGAGTGCCTTGTCTGATTCGAACTGCCCTTCAGCCATTAAGCGATCACTTTCGCCGGTGGTGACCTGTTCAAGTCGGCGGAGGTATCAGGCATACACAACGGATCTTTACTTACCTTGAGAAAATAACTCACTTGATCCCCCGTAGGTAGTTGACAAACAAGCCGAGCTTGACGAGCCCATACCCACATCCCATAAGCGCGGCACGAAAGTACTTTGGTCCCAGGTATGGGAAGGCCTGCATCATTGTTTCATTGTCAGCAACATCTGCATTATTTAGAGCTTGGGATTTCATTACTTTCGAGGACGGCATCATCGAGCTCGAAGGTGGCCCCGCCCGACTCTTTTCCAGTTCCGTCTTGACGAGAGGCCATGTCAAGGTGAATAGGGACCCTGATTATGAGTCTCAAAGGCGACAAGCCGTATTGGTTGCAGGTTTTGGTGCTATGTGAGATAAAATACAGCTAAGCTAAGCTTAATCGCTCTTCGCCTTGGATGAGTTCGTGCCGGATTATGATTTCTATATCCAAGCGGATTATTGACCATTGCCTTCGAGGGAATTCCTATTTCGATCTGGACTCTCTCAAAATCCTTAGCCAATCCCTTTATCAAGGATTATCGTACCATGCACCCCAAGCCTCCAAACCCTTGCTGAATGACTTTGGGGGCTGCCAGCTCATTCGCGGATACACAGCAGTATCTGGTTCAATAAATGCTGTCAGCGAGGCTGAATACAACAAACGACCAGGGGTTCCAGACACAATTAACCTGAGCCAAGACCCTGGAGAATAATACGACGTCGGCATCCTGACCACCCTCAGCCAACCCTGCCGGCCTTCCACGCCAGGTTGTGGCACGGCTCGGGCGACCGCGGACATCAAAAAATTGGGCCTAGAACATTTGCCGCTTACTTGGTAAGAATAGGGAGTGGCATGATTTGTCATACGACTAGCGCTAGCGCTAGAGGGTATTCACGACTCACTTTCTTCGATGCGAAGTAGTTCGTAGACAATAAACCATCCCTCTTCCATTACGGTTTTAGTGCCCTGTTTTTGAAACCGCACTGCTAATAGCGAGAATTCTGTCGACTGGAAATCCGAAATGTGCCCGTGCGGCTGCGAGTTCATCTTCTCGCCCGGCTATAGCCGGTTATTCTATTCAGATTATATCCTAGGGCAATCCGTGGCATGTGCTGATATTTGATAGACTGCAGCTGCAGCCGCAGCCTGTCCAAGCAACCATGCAAAGCACGAAACGACACCTACTTAATCAGATGCAAACGGACTAAAAGAGACAGTGACTGCGTGCGCCCATACGGCTGCGGGTTCATCTTCTTGCCCTGCTACAGCTGGTGTTTCTTTTTGGGTTGTGTCCTGGGGCGGTCCGTTGCGTCGTTGGTGTGCTGGCGTTTGGTGGGCTGCAGCTGCATTCGCAGCCTGTCCAAGCAACCATGCAAAGCACGAAACGACACCTACTTAATCAGATGCAAACGGACTAAAAGAGACAGTGACTGCGTGCGCCCATACGGCTGCGGGTTCATCTTCTTGCCCTGCTACAGCTGGTGTTTCTTTTTGGGTTGTGTCCTGGGGCGGTCCGTTGCGTCGTTGGTGTGCTGGCGTTTGGTGGGCTGCAGCTGCATTCGCAGCCTCTCCAAGCAATTCTAAAAAGCACGGAACGACACCCACTCGACCAGATGCAAACGGACTAAAAGAGATAGACTGCGTGCGCCCGGGAAGGCCTTTAGTTAGCGCTAGCGTATACATCTTCTACTCGGTATTCTCCGTACGTAAACAAATCAACACCCCTAAGGGTTATCGCTACACAGGCATTCACTGCCGCTTTAGCTATGGGGCATTGGTTCTGGAGTCAAACATCATTGATATGACGGGGGAATGCAAAAGTGACCCAGAGCAGCATGCAGAGGGCACGCTTCCGAACAAACTACCTACTCTCTCTATCGGTGTAATTCGCGGCCAGTTTGAGCGCGCTAGAGAAAATAGTTAGTTTGTTGAATCTCCTCACAAATAGTGGACAGTCAGATCTTTATTGTGTCAGAGTTCTTGAAATATACGGACATTTGAAAAGAAGATCCCAAATTGTTCCTACGGACGTGCAGGCCTAATGTTTGTTACACCGCCTTTGCAGGGGGTTGCGCTGAAGCGCCCTGTAGCATACGCTGTAGCCGAGTTTTGCTTGGCGGAATTCAAGGCGGTATAACAAACATTCGGGCCTGCACCTGCGTAGAAAGTTTGCACAATCAAAACGCGTTTTAATTTAGAATATCCCAGCAGCGCAAGATGTCGATTCTAGAATTCAAGAATCCTTACCAAGGTTTATCACCAACAAAAGTATCGCTCCTCCACAACTCCACATTGGATGCTACAGCCCTTGCCAATATTGGCTTCTTCAGCACTGTAGACAGAGAATCGACTCACATTCTACTCACGGACTCCAACGTTGCCGCTTCCATGCTCGGTGAATTGAAAGAGCTTTTCAACAATCTCCGTATCAAGATTCATCCAATTATCGTTGCTCCCGGTGAACCGTCCAAAACGATTCAAGCATACAACTATGTGCTTGACAGCTGCGCAGATATAGGCATCACCAAAGAATCAACAGTCATCGGTATCGGTGGAGGGGTGATCAAAGACCTTTCTGGATTTCTTGCATCAACATTATTACGTGGACTCAACCTTGTCCTAATTCCAACCACGGTGCTTGCCCAGGTAGACGCCGCCATCGACTGGAGACATTCTCTGAACCTTCCCCATGGGAAGAACCTCATCGGAAGCATTCTCGCACCTGCTGAGATTTTGATCAACGCGGGCTTTCTAAAATTGCTCAACGACCGCTGGGTCAGAGATGGCCTCGCCGAGTCTATCAAGATAGCTCTATGCCAGAGCCCTGACTTCCTGACTCTTCTCAGCCAAGCGAACCCATCTGACTTCACGTGGCTTTGTCGCGTTATCGACATATCCGTCTCTGAGAAGGTCGTAGCCATGAATCGTGACTCGGCACCTGACCAAGCGATGCTGGTTTACGGCCACGCCATAGGACACGCGATCGAGCATCTTTCAGAGGGAGAATTAGGTCATGGGGAAGCGATTTCCATCGGCATGTCTGTCACTGCCGAACTCAGCTTTCTTGCTGGATTATCAGATGAACTCACCTTGAAGGCGCATTACGACGTCTTCACGAGGTTTGGCCTGCCGACAATCGTTCCTGATAAGTACGATCTGGATCATATATGGTCCATCATTCGTGCTGACAAGCGCTTCCGCGGAGATAAGATGTGGGCTCCCTCGGTGAAGACTGTGGGGACTCTTGTGGTGGATAATGCCGGGAAGTGTTTCTTGCCATTTGGAGAAGAAATAGTGTTACGTGCGCTTGAGCTGAATAAATCTCACGGCAAGACAACTCGTAGATTAGCACAGGATTAATAAGAACGCGTCTGTACAAACGCGAGTACTTTGTTTAGTCGTTCAGTCGTAGATAGTGACGTATGGTGTCCTGCTGATAGCTTGGTCCACTGCTGCCGTCGTTACGACTACAAGTGAATTTAACTTATATCTTGTATATCGAGACTAGAAGTGATTCCAAAGAAGCTTGATTTCATAGTGACGTATTCATGCTTTCAAGAGCGCAGTAAACTTTCTTATTTCTTGATCAGCTTTCACTCCCATAATAAAAGATCTACCCCTTTTGTATTATAGTCTCTCTTTAACCCCCCGGGATCTTTAATCCCTCGCCACTTCACCTCTATTTTCTTCAACCGGGGAAACCTCTCATCTCTCGCCAATATCAATTCCTTCAAATGCTCTTCCTCAATCGGGCTATCACTACAACCAACCATCAATCTCTCCAACGATCGCGGTAGTATGTTACAAAATTTTACATCGGGCATAGCTCTATTCCAAGAACTCGGATACCCAAGGAGTGAGCAGTCGAGTAGCGATGACGATAGTGGTTTGAGCGATAGCGATCCGGGGTCCGGCAGCGACGATGACGGGTGTTCGAGCGAGGGCGAGTACGGCCGTTCAAGCACGAGCAAGCACAGCCGATGATCAGACCTAGACGAGCAGCGCTTGCTAGTATACAAGAAAGAGGGCAAGTGTTGGGAGTGGATCTTCAAGAAATTCCGAGGCAGGACCTCGGCTGCCGTACGCACGCGCTGGAACATGATTCGGCCCAGAGACGAGTAGGGCTTCCTCATGCAGGTGGATATGAGGCTCTTGGTGCCCACTTGTCCCCATGTTCCAGTGACTGCGTTGCTTGCGTTAAAGTAGATATTAGATGGGAGAATAGAGCGGGGAAAGAGGGAGGGGGAGGAGGTGAGGGGGAGGTTCCTTATAATAATACACCTAGTAACGTCTTGGATTAGAGAAATTTGGGGTTAATTATATAGATTAGTTATTTTACTTAGTAGATATTTATTAAATCATAGATTTCCCTAAAACTTATTCTCGTCTCGCCTATATATTTACCTTCTTTCCCAAATAGCTAATTGCTTTAGAAACATTCCCGTTTTCTAAATAGTATTTTAAGACTAGTCGGACCAAGCTTCTTTCTTTAGCTTTTTAAATACTTATAAAATAAAGGCCATTTATAGAAATATATCTTTACTAAACTTCTTTACTAAAGTCAAAGGTCTATCTAGATATACTATTTAATAAAATTTAAAAAGCGGCTTTATATAGGGGCTAGTTATTCTTAAAAGAGGAGCTAATTACTTTATTAATATTAGGAGTCCTATACTAGAGAAAATTAAGCTATTAAGTAATAATAATAATAATTTATATAATAGAGATTTTTATAAGACTAAATAGGGCCATTCTATAAATAAATAGAACTAATAACTAGAGAAAGTAAGTTTTAAATATAAATCTTCTATAAGTTTCTAAAAATAATATATTAAATAATTTAATTACTAGATTATATATTATTATATATAATTATAAAAATAATAAAAATAATATAATATAAGAATAAAGTATATTTTATTCTATAATACCCTATTCCTTATATAAGGCCTCTTTTTTAATAAAAAGTAAGAATACCCGTATACTAATTAGTATATATATTACTAACTAATATATTTTCTAGTAAAAGGAATTTCAGTAAAAAAGCACTTTTCCTATTATCTTTTAATAAGTATTTCCTTATCTTAAAGCATATTCTCGTTATATTATTATATAATCTAGCTTATAAAGTTATTATTTACTATATCTATAAGTCCTATATTATCCTAGAAACATATAGTTAAGAGTAATACCTATAAGTATAATTATACTAACTTTTGGGAAATAAGCTTAAGGCAACTATAAAGCTTCTTAGTAGCTATAATTTAAGTCAAATGCCTGAAAAGCAGATATATAAATAAGGTAGTTTTAAAAAACATATATTAGTAAGAAGCTCTCTTACTAAAATTATATAATTAATAACTCGATATTAAATAACGGGTAAATAGCTATAAGTTAGATACTAAAATAATTATATATTATTAGGTTTTTAAAAAATTATAGCTATATATTATATATTAGTTATATAGTAAATTAATTGCGATTTTATAATAAAAGTATATATATTAAGAGCCGAAAAAGTATAATATATATAATATTAATAATAACTTAATAAATAACAAGTAAATAGCTATAAGTTAGATACTGAAATAATTATATATTACTAGGTTTTTAAAAGGTTATAGCTATATATTATATATTAGTTATATAGTAGATTAATTATAATTTTATAATAAGAGTATATATATTAAGAGCCAAAAAAGTATAATATATATAATATTAATAATAACTCAATAAATAATAGGTAAATAGCTATAAGTTAGATACTAAAATAATTATATATTACTAGGTTTTTAAAAGATTATAGCTATATATTATATATTAGTTATATAATAGATTAATTACAATTTTATAATAAGAGTATATATATTAAAAGCCGAAAAAATATAATATATATAATATTAGTAATAATTTAATAAATAATAGGCAAATAGCTATAAGTTAGGTACTAAAATAATTGCATATTACTAGGTTTTTAAAAGGTTATAGCTATATATTATATATTAGTTATATAGTAGATTAATTATAATTTTATAATAAAAGTATATATATTAAGAACTAAAAAAGTATAATATATATAATATATATATCTTAATAAAACTAATATTATATTATTAATAACTTTCTTTATATTAGTTTAAGGCCCTAAAAGGCTATAAATTAAGTACTAAATTAATTATATATATTATAATAAAAAATATATATTTTAGGATCTAATATATTATAATATATATAATAAATTTATTACTAAGAGTTTAGAACTTACTTAGAGATTAAGGCTAGAAATATTTCCTAAATCTAAACCCCTTTTACTCTTAGTATAATTAATAATAATTTTTTTAGATATTACTCCTAAATAAGCTAATTCTTTAATAGCCTTTTATTTCCGAACTCTTAGTAAATTATTACCGGATTTTAATCTTTTATTTCTAAATCTAATTCTTTAAGAATATCTTATCTAAAGAAAAGTAAAGAAAAAAAGAAAGAAATAAGATATAAAAGTAATATAACTAGATAAGTATACTAGTAAGAAAAGTATTAATAAGTTCTAGATCCTAATTTAATAGATTATTATTTACTTACTTATATTTCCTTAAGCTTTTTCTATTTATTATAGATTTAATAACTAATATATATCTTTTCCTAGCTTCTTTAAATACTATTTAGTAATTTTCTCCTTAATAACCTCCTCCTTAATAACCTTTTCCTTAATAATTTCCTTTTTTTTTATAACTTTCTTTTTTAGATATACTAACTTCTTTAACTCTAATTATATAGTAGCCTGGCTCTTTATATATATTGCTTTTTTACTATATCTAAGAATATTTAAATACTATAAGTACTTTAAATATAGAGCTATTTGGCTTCTAAATACTATTAATTTAATCTCGAAATATATAAGAATTATTAACTAGATATTAAAAATCTATACCTTACCTCTTATATAAGGCCCCTTTTTTAATAAAAGGTAAGAATACTAGTATACTAATTAGTATATATACTACTAACTAATATACTTTCCGGTAAAAGGGATTTTGGTAAAAGGATACCTCTCCTATTACCCTCTACCCTCCTTTAAATAAGTATTCCCTTGTCTCAAAATATATACTTGTTATATTCTTATATAATCCGATTTATAGGATTACTATTTACTATATTTGCAAGTCCTATATTATTTCAGGGATATATAGTTAAGAGTAGTACCTATAAGTATAGCTATACCGACTTTTGGGAAACGAGCTCAAGGCAACTATATAGCTCCTTAATAGCTATAACCTGAGAAGTATAGCCGAGCTCAGAGAGTATAAGCCCCAGTCCAAAGACAGGTACCAGATAATTAAATACCTGGTTAGCTATAATAGTATCTACTATCTATAGCCATAGTATAGCTATAGTACCTACTATCTTCCCAAGATAAAGGAGTACTAGGCTACTTACTATAAGACCGAAGTAAGGTTTTATAAGAATAGTTAGTTATAAAAAGAGTATAAGCTATAAATATACTTTACTATAAAGAACCGGATTAATTATTTTATAGTAGTAGATAGAAAGAAAGACAGGGAAATAGCCAGAGGCTTTATATTATTAACTAAGCTAGAGAAAGAACTATTTAAGTAATTAGAAAAGAATTATAAGAATATAAAATATAATCTTGAGAAGCAAGTAATTATAGTTTAGGATATTAGAGATTTAAGATTAGAAAAAGTACTATAGCTATATAATATAATAGGTTTTCTATATTACCTAACTATACTAAAAAACAAGAAGATCTAGAGCTTATATAAGCTACTATTAAAGAAAGAACTTAATATGAATAGTAAGAATACTAAGAATCCTAATCTCGTTCGAATTTTAGTTATAGCCGAGGCTATCTTAAGAGATATATACCGGTTATATAGTAATACCTTACTAGACCGGAAAATAATATAGTAGTAAGCTAATATCCTAAATAAATTCTATATTAGGGCTTTAGGTAAAGCAGATAGGTTCCGGTATTTCAAGAATATATTAATTTTAGTTACTTACTTTATTACTATAAAATAGTTATTAGTATATTACTATTATATAGTATATTATAAAGGCGGCTATTTTACCTGGGCTAAGCTAGAGCAAATACTATCCGGGAATATTATCTAGCTAACTATTTTATAGATTCAAGCTATAAATGAGATTATAGAAGCCTTGGCTATTAAGGATATAGAGAAGGCTAAGCTAGCTTTCAAGTATACTATTTAGCGACTTTACTTGGCTCTAATTTGCCATACTATTAGTAGTATACTATTCAAGTTCCCTGTCTTGAGTTTTTATATTATACTAAATAGGAAAGTCTATAGGAAAGGCCGGGAATTATAAAAGGAGCCAGGGAATTTCAATAGTTATTTATTAGCTCTGACTTAGACTATTTAGCTAGTACTTTTTGACTATACTTATTTCTAAGAGTAAGATAATAAAGATTAAATCCCTGTCTTTCTTACTAAGATCTATAAGAAGTTCTTCTAATAGCTAGCTAAGATCTCATTTAGGTATATTTTATAATAAAGGCTATACTTATTTAAGGTTAGAAAAGCTACTATTATAAAATACTAAGCTTAATAGTTCTTAGATAGGCAGATAATAAAATATTATAGGATAAAATTATAGATATTATAGATCTCTAACTTAGTAGTTTCTAAATATTAATAAGCCTATATCCTGCTCTATAATAAGTTCCTGTTTCAAGCTAAGGACCTTATTCTAATAGAATTATAGAGGCTAAAAGATAACCTAGATCTAGAAGATTTTAGTAGCTTATAGCTCTCTTATTCTAGTAATACCGAGTTTCTAAAGAGTATTAAGCTTACTTTTATCTAGTAAA